CTGGCCTGATGCGGTGCGGAGCGCGTGTGTGGCCAAGAACAGAGTTTTGACTCATGTGGGAGCAGACAAATGGGTGCCCTATGTGGAGTGGCTAGGAAGGAAGCCAAAGGTGGATATGCTTCGGGTGTTCGGGTGCATGTGCATGGCGCTCGTGCCTAAGCATCTTCGGCACAACAAGCTTGGTGCCAAGGCGGTGTGGGCCGTGCACTTGGGCATGGCTCAAAACAGCAAGGGATGGCTTCTTTGGGACCCATTCACCAAGAAGTTCTTGGTGAGCAGGGACTGCAAGTTCATGGAGAACTTCATGTACAAGGATTGGAAGGCGGAGAATGAGGCGAAGATAGGCGTGCGGTTTGGGGAGGTGAAGAGTTCCCCCTTGATGAGGTGGTGATGGATGTGGTGGGCCCCCTGAAGCTTGGAGCTGCTGGAGCTGAGTATTTTCTCACCATTGTCGACGTCTACATCCGCATGACTTGGGTGTATGTGCTGGCCAAGAAGAGCGACGTAGCTGAAACGTTGAAGACGGATTGGTTCCCGATGGTGGAGCGGCAACAACACCGTCTAGTCAAGTCAATCCGCATCGATCGAGGGGGAGAGTTCCTGAGCAAGGAGTTTGGGTTGTGGATGAAGAAGAATGGTATTCGCCACTCCCTCACCATGCCATACTCCCCTGCAATGAACGACATCGCCGAGCGAGCGAACCGCACAATCACGGAGGCGGCACGCGGATTGCTAATTGAAGCCGGGCTACCCGACTATTTCTGGCCTGATGCGGTGCGGAGCGCGTGTGTGACCAAGAACAGAGCCTTGACTCATGTGGGAGCAGACAAATGGGTGCCCTATGTGGAGTGGCTAGGAAGGAAGCCAAAGGTGGATATGCTTTGGGTGTTCGGGTGCATGTGCATGGCGCTCGTGCCCAAGCATCTTCGGCACAACAAGCTTGGTGCCAAGGCGGTGTGGGCCGTGCACTTGGGCATGGCTCAAAACAGCAAGGGATGGCTTCTTTGGGAACCATTCACCAAGAAGTTCTTGGTGAGCAGGGACTGCAAGTTCATGGAGAACTTCATGTACAAGGATTGGAAGGCGGAGAATGAGGCGAAGATAGGCGTGCGGTTTGGGGAGGTGAAGAGTTCCGGTTTGGAGTGTTAGAGACTAAGGACGGAGTCTATGAAGATTAGGTGCCTAAATTTCTCAAAATCGTTGGCTTAGAGTTCTGGACAGAAAAGTCGCGCTCACAAGAAACGCCGTCGACAAAAAGTTCACGGTCAAAACTTCACGAAACTCAGATATGTTGTAGCCCTAGTTCGTGGCTACAATTCCCAACTTGAATCGTACGGAAAAGTGAAGTACTTCTTGAGTTATCAATTTCGGCGCACTAGGGGGTATGCTGCCATGGAATCTTAACTCAAACACAATAGTCTCACATAAGTTCACAATTACTACACAAGAGAGTTAGAGTAGCACAAAACCAGGTGGAAGGGATGAGGAAGATGAGAGGGAAGGTCCCAAGAGAGTCCCCAATCAAGGAAACCCCATGCCACACAATTCCCTTCCCCATAGGCAACCCAATTTTGACCTTTGTCACTATCCCAACCTCCACAATCCACCTCAACCCAACTTGGCCACACTTGCCAACCTGGTTTGGTTTCTCCCAACCATTTGGCAACACTACAGTAGAAAAGACGAATTTCCCAACCCCCAATAGTCTATACCCCTTATGGAGTCAATCCCACAACTTCCCACAGTTGCCACAATCAAATATGAAAAGCATACGAACTCCAACGTTCGTAACTTTCTTGTTCGTGCTCCGATTGAAGTGATACTTGGTTCGTCAGAAAGCTCTTGAGCAGAGGAGTCACTTCAGATATCTGTTCAAGCCAAATTACATTCACACACACTCAAAAAAAACCAAACCACATCAAACACAAATTCTTGCACACGCTCACACCACGCATGCAACGCACGAACATGTGATGGGAGGCAGACAGACGTGAATGCAAATGATAGCATCACATAACATGGAGCATGTGGAGCTGCCTTTGGAGCTGAGCAGCGGCAGCACAACCACGAGGCAATCCTCCCTTGTGCAGAGGAAGAAGAGGAGGAGGTGCAGCAAGTGAGCGAGCGTGCACCGTCACTCCATTCCCGCACTACGAGTGCTCCACGGATTCGAGCCACACCGCAGCAACGCCAAGGCCTTCAAGTCCCTGCAGCTGAGGAGGAAGGAAGGGGGAAGAGGAGAGTTCAACCCCCTAATAGGCTGACCTATGATGCGTCGGGAAAGCAGGGAAAGACAACCCTGGCCGGAGCGGCAATGATGGTCGGAGACGACGAGGAGAGTGACTACGAGGAGTGTGCCTTCGCGTTCTTCTCTCCGGTGGAGATGCTGGGAGAACCAGCAACTCTCAAGGAGGCTTTGGAGAGTATTGATTCTGAGGAGTGGAAGAAGGCCATGGAGAGTGAGCTGAAGAGCATTGAGGAGAACGACACGTTTGAATTAGTGGAGCTACCGGAGGGGCGTACGGCGATAACGTCCAAGTGGCTCTTCAAAATCAAGTCGGATGCCGACGGCAAGATCGAGCGCTACAAGTCTAGGCTTGTAGCCAAGGGGTACTAGCAGAAGGAGAAGGTGGACTTCAAGGAGCTGTTTGCCCCTGTGGTGAAGCCGACGACGCTGCGAACCCTGTTCGCAGGAGCCGCCATCAAAGGATGGGTGGTAAAGCAAATGGACATCGTAACGGCATTCCTTAACGGCATCCTTGAGGAGGAGATTTTTATGGCGCAGCCAGAGGGGTTTGATGATGGTAGTGGCAGAGTGTGGAAGCTGAAGAAGGCCCTCTATGGGCTGAAGCAGGCCCCTAGGCAATGGTACATGAAGCTGCGCGAAGTGTTGGAGGGAATCGGCTTCACTCCCTCAACGGCCAATCACTCTTTGTTCATGCTTGACGAGAGGCAGCAGATGAGCTTCATGGTGGTGTACGTGGACGACATCCTGCTCTTCTCACCCTCCTCTGACCTTGTGAAGGAGGTGATGCTGAAGCTGCAAGAAAAGTTCAAGTGCAAGTCCCTTGGTGACGTGAACTTCTACCTTGGGCTCCACATCGAACGAGACGTGGAGAAGCGGAGCATGCGAGTGCACCAACGGAAGTACCTGGAGGCGTTGGCTGCCAACTTTGGCCAGAGTGAAGGTCATGTGGCTACTCCCTTTCCTTCTGGGTTCAAGTGTGTGAAGGGACCAGAGGAGGAGAGCGTTGGAGAAGAGGAGAGGCGCCGTTTTCACTCGTTGGTGGGCAGCCTCATGTATGCGGCGGTAAACACCCGACCGGACGTCGCGTTTGCTACCGGGCAGCTGGCTAGGGTTGTGCAATGCCCTAATGAGGAGCAGGTAGCAGCTGGAATGAGGGTGGCCAAGTATCTTGGCCAAACACCGACCGTTGGGCTGCAATACTCGGCGGCGGCACAAAGGCGCCAAAAGGGCGCGGATGGTGTTGAACCCGGGCGTTTGTTCCTCACCGCCTACTCGGATGCATCATATGCATCGAAACCAGAGGACATGACAAGTGTGGGAGGCTTCATATGCTGTGTTGGTGGAGGCCCAACTGCTTGGGAGAGCAAGAAGCAGATGGACCAAGCATTGAGCTCGGTGGAATCCGAGTACATGGCACTCTTCCGTGCCGTAAGGGAGATTGTGTGGCAGCGGCGTTTGCTGGCTGAATTGGGGGAGGAGCAGCAAGAACCTACCCCACTGTACTGTGACAGCCAGGGTTCTATTGCACTAGCTAAGAATCCTGTCCTGCACGGCCTCACCAAGCACATGCGGGTGAAGTGGCACTGGACTAGGAGCATGGTAGCCGCGGGTGAAGTTGAGTTACGCTATGTGAAGACCACGGGGCAGCCAGCTGACATGATGACCAAGAGGCTAGTGGAGCAGCAGCATTGGAAGTGTTGCAAGCTGGCTGGGATGGCTCTAAACTGAGAGAGCAAGATCCTAAGGCCAAAAATCCGAGGGGGAGTTTGTTGGTGCAACCCTACGGTTTGCACTCGGCTTGTTGTCCGTGTGCGTGCATGCGTGTGTGCATGGAATGGAATGAGGGCATGAGATAATATATATTTCATGCTTATAATAGTGTGTGAATGTTGAGTCATGATGTCGAGTGTGTGTGTCGAGTCAATAGCGAGTTATCGCTAGTCGTGTCCCACGCGGTTTCTATTTTGTCGCTTGTGTGTCTCGCGCGGTTTCTATTTTGTCCTGTGTCGAACGTTCGGCGTGTCGCAGGTGTGTGCAGCAGACCCATCAAGAACTCAAGGATGAGTTTGTGACGAAGAGCCCGAGTCTTGGTTTCAAGCTTCAAGTGATTTCGAAGGGTACACCTCAAGATATTGAAGATAGTTACATTACTTTGTGTAGTGTAACATTTCACTTGGTGTAGGCCCTAGTGAAGGGTAGTTTCGAGACCCTTCGTGGTTGGGGACAGTGTGGCACTTTTCCACATCACTGTACCTCGGCTCTTGGGGTTTGTAGGAGCTGGGACTCATTCCCAACTCGTAACTCTTGGTAACTCTTCCTATCTTGTGTTCTAAGACTATAGTGGCTGCCATAGTGCCGTTCGTTCAAACCGACGCTGTGTCGTCAATACTTGGTGAAATCGTGCAATCTACATTGCCTATTGTAGGCGACAGTAAGACGCTCCAGATCCAAGTTGAATCAGGTCAATTGAAGCTGTGATCACAACGCTATGAACGTTTGAAGCCGCTGTGCAGAAATCCGACTGTGCACTCTATCTTTCGTTTTAGGCACATTGGAGCCTATTGTGATTATAACATTTCCCGATGATCTACTTGCCGAACTTCCACCCGAGCGTGCTATTGACCATAGTATCTGCCTCATTCCAGGTTCTACACCGCCCGTGCACCCAACCTATCGCATGAGCACTGCTGAACTTTGGAGCTACGACGACAACTCGACAACCTTCTTGAGAAGGGTTTCATCCGACTACGTTTCAGTCGTAGTCGCCATCACCACCATTCCCATCCCCATTACCATCTCCACCCCCATAGTCACCACCATAATCACCACCATCCCCATAGTCACCACCGTTGCCACCACCATAGTCCCCACCATAATCTCCTCTGCTTCCACCCCCATTACCACTGCCAGTCACATCCCCAGTGCCGCCGCCAGTGCTGCCGCCAGTGCCGCCCCTAATGCCGCCCCTAGTGCCGCCCCCAGTGCCGCCGCCAGTGCCGCCGCCAGTGCCGCCCCAAGTGCCACCCCCAGTGCCGCCCCCAGTGCCACCCCCAGTGCCGCCCCTAGTGCCGCCCCCAGTGCCGCCCCCAGTGCCGTCCCCAGTGCCGCCGCCCGTGCCCCCCCCAGTACTGCCCCCAGTTGACCCCGTGCAGCTGAAGTCCACATCTGCCTGGCCACTGCAAGGGCATCAGCACAGGACAGGACGAGGGACGCATGGGGGACAAACATGGATACCCTGCTCAGTCTGCGCCGCCGCGTAGGAGGACAGTGGGCCTTGGCTGTAGCTGACGCCAGCACAAGACAAGCTCCTCTGGTGGTAGATAGAATACCTAGCACATGAAGCAGAGTTGGGAGTTATGATGCAGAGTTGGTGGCAGAGTGAGACCAGGTTGTGGCTAGGGACGTACTAGTTGCCGCCGTGGTCGGTGACAGTTGGAGACCGATCGCTGGAGAAGGCCCAGATGAGGCTGTTGCTCCCCGCCATGCTCATAGGCACCGCGCCGTCGCCAGATGACCAAGAGAACCTGCGGCAATGAGCGGGAAATTACAGAGCAGCGCACCGGAGTGCAGATTTTTAGAAACTCATTTCTGAGTGGAATCATCAACCGTGTGAGTTGAGTCAGCGATATGCTAAAACTGATGGTACCAGCACGTGGACATGACAACGCGACTGTTGTGGTACGCAAATGGCACTGCCCAATGTTGACTTCACGAGCCCACGCAACCTCTAACGGTCAACTCGCAGGGGCGATGAGTCACGTACTTGATGAGCGAGCCGCCATTGGCAGAGGAGGCGGAGCTGATGGAGAATCGGCTGGTGGGGCACACCTCCGCCTCACTGTACTCGCCTATGGCGTACGCCTTCACCGCGCCGCCCGGCAGCCCGCCAATCACGGCATCGGAGCCACGCGTCTTGTCGTCCGGCGACCACGCCACCGCCACCCATCCACCGGTCGCCGCGCCGCCAACCTCCATGGCGAGGGAAAGGCTGCCGCCGCCCGTGCCTTGGGCCCAGTGGAGTACGAGTATGAGAGTACGCCGAAGTTCGACATATTTCTCATTTCTATATGTTTACTCTATCTTATTCTCCTTATTTTTCTCGTTCATTTGCACTTTATTCACCTCAATCGGACTACTAATATATTTTCTAGATCTTTCCGATTATTTCATATATTTGGTATTTTCAGCATCGACATTTACACTATACAACACAGACTGTCAGAACATTATAGCTTATGCTGTTGTGTAGGCTATAGTGGGGTATCCCATAGGGGGTACAACCAATTAGGGTTTCATATTTGTACTCACTTCATTTCATAGTCAACCCATTCCTCGTTTCTTCTCATGGTATCGAGCAGGTTCCCTAGTGGGAACGCTTCCTAGGGCCCACCACGAACTTTTTTTTTCCTGCCCGGAGCGCGCTTCGCTCCCACGGTCGCGCCCTCTCACGGCCCCTTACGGCCCCTTACGGCTCCTAGCGCGGACCCTCGTGCCGCCCGTCGGCCCCTTACGGCCCCTTACGGCCCCTCGCGCGGCCCCCTATGGCCCCTCACGCGGCCCCTTACGGCCCCTCGCGCCGCCCGTCGGCCCCTTACGGCCCCTTACGGCACCTCGCGCGGCCCCTTACGGCCCCTCACGCGGCCCCCTACGGCCCCTACCGCGGCCCCTTACGGCCCCTCGCGCGGCCCCCTACGGCCCCTACCGCGGCCCCTTACGGCCCCTCGCGCCGCCCGTAGGCCCCTCACGGCCCCTTACGGCCCCTCGCGCCGCCCGTCGGCCCCTCACGCGGCCCCTTACGGCCCCTCGCGCGGCCCCTTACGGCCCCTTACGGCCCCTCGCGCCGCCCGTCGGCCCCTCGCACCGCCCTCAGCGGCCCCTTACGGCCCCCCTACGGCCCGTCGCCGCCCTCCGCGGCCCCTCGCGCCGCCTCTTCACGGCCCGTCGCAGCCCTCCGCGGCTCCTCGCGACGCGGCCCCTCGCACCGCCCTCTCCGGCCCACTGTCGCCGCCCCTACCGCAGCGGCCGCCGCCGTCCCGGCCGTCGCAGCTGCAGCCATCGCCAGCAGCAGCCGCCACCACCTCCCTTGGGGCCGCGGCTGCTGCCGCAGCTAACTGCACCCGCCGACGCCGCTCCACTCGGCCCCGCCGCCGCTCCCCACGTGGCCTCGCCGCGCCTCCTGAGCCGCCCGGGCCTGCCGAGCCGCCGTACCGCCCGAGCCGCCGTACCGCCCGAGCCGCCCGAGCCGCCGTGTCGCCGAGCCGCGCTTGCTGCCGAGCTGCAGTACCGCCGAGCCGCCCGAGCCGCCCGAGCCGCCGAGTTGCCGAGCCGCCGAGCAGCTGAGCCACCTGAGTCGCCCTGTCCGGTAAGTGCAGCGCCCCTGTCCCTGCACTGCCCTCACCCTACTGTTAGCGCTGCTAGTCTACTGCTGTCATGGCTACCCCTAGTGTCCTTGCCTTTGACGCTGAGGGTCGGGCCATTGACTTTGACGTCTGGGTAGATGACCTGCAGCTTTTCTTACAGTGCGACAGAGCAGACGGCCTCTCCCTCTTTGACCTCACTTCTGGTGCCTCTCCTGCCCCCGCTGCTGATGCTGACGCCACTGTTCGCTCACAGTGGGCCACGCGCGATGCTGCTGCACGTCTTGCTGTGCGTCGCCACCTACCGACCTCTGAGCGTGCGCACTTTAGCCAGTACAAGAGTGCTCAGACCTTGTACGACGCTGTAGTTGCACGCTACTCCTCCCCTGCCACTGCTGCACTGAGCCGCCTCTTGCTACCGTACCTCTTCCCTGACCTTGCTGCCTTTCCCACAGTCGCTGACCTCATTACGCACCTCCGCACTAGTGACACTCGCTACCGTGCTGCGCTTCCTGCTGAGTTCTGCGCCAAGAACCCCCCCCCCATGTACATCACCCTCTACTACATAGTCACCCGTCTCCCTGACTCCCTTCGCGTAGTCAGGGACCACTTCCTCTCGGTTTGTCCCACCACTCTCACCGTTGACCTCCTCGAGAAGGCCCTCCTAGCAGCAGAAAAGAGCATAGTCGCTGTAGGAGCCTCTCGTGGTGACCCTCGCACCCCCATTTTTGAGGGGTGTTCCCCCTCCCCTCTTTTGCCCTCTGTTGCCTCTGCTGCTGCGGCCGACCTCGCTGGTTTGGAGTCGGTTGGGGCAGCGTCTACCCCTAGCGGGAGACGCCGCCCTGGCAGGGGCAAGGGGGGCAGGGGCGCTGGAGGAGCTAGCGGGGGCGGTGGAGGCGGCGGTGGAGGCGGTGGAGGAGGTGGGGGTGGCGGTGGGGGTGGTAGCGGGGGTGGAGGTATAGGTGGCGGCAGTGGAGGCGCAGGAGGCAGCGGCGGTGGCGGAGGGAGCGGAGGTGGCGGCCGTGGAGGAGGAGGCGGCGGAGGAGGTGGAGCTGGTCGGGGTGGCGCTGTGCAGAGGATCAGCTCCGGTGGTGGTCAGCGCCAGCAGCAGCAGCAGCAGCAGCAGCAGCAGCAGCGCACTCGTGACATCCCCTCCCCTCAGCAGCTCCGTGAGTGGTACACTGCACGCCAGAGGGGTGGGGGTACTGGTCCGTGCACCTACGTCCTGCGCACCGGCGACCGTGCGGGTGAGCAGTGCGGGGGTGCGCACTCCACCCAGCGCTGCTTTGGCCGCCTGACGGACGCTTGGCGTCACCAGTTCCCTGAGGCCACTGAGATCCCCCGCTGGGGTGAGCTGTCTAGGGCGGGTGTAGCTGTCTTTGACCTTGACTTTGATGCTATTCTTGCTGCCGTGTATACTGTGACTATTAGTGATGAGGGTGACTGTTACCGGTGTTTTCCGCCTGACCCGGGCATTGAGACTGCTGCTCTAGGTACTGGTGAGGCTGCTGCTCTAGGTGCTAGTGAGGCTGCTGCTCTAGGTGCGTCTGCTCCCTCAGGTGCTGGTGAGTCTGCTCTCTCAGGTTCTGCGTCGGCTTTGGCCTCTCACACCTTCACCCTTGACTCGGGGGCTTCTCGCTCCTTCTTTCGAGACCGCACCACACTCACGCCGCTTGGCCGGCCAGTTGCGGTCTCTCTGGCAGACCCCTCTGGGGGTCCTGTCCTTGCTCACTTCTCCACTGTCCTCCCGTGTCCGGCGGCCCCCTCTGGCACCCTGTCTGGTCTCTACCTCCCCTCGTTCTCTACGAACTTGGTGAGTGGTGCTGACCTACAGGATGCGGGGGTTCACCAGTTCACTCCTGCGAGTCAGCGGGTGACCCACTGCACGGACGCTCGGACAGGCCGCCACCTGGCCACGTTTACACGTCGGCCAGGGTCGAGCCTGTACACACTGACCACTGCGTCTCCTCCAGTCCCTGCGTCTGGTCAGGTAGCTGCGTCGGGTCAGGTGTTTGCTGCAGCGTCCAGGTCTGGTCCTGAGTCTGCCCCCTGCTCGTGTCGCCTCCTGTCTCACGAGACTCTCCTCTGGCACCACCGTCTTGGTCACCCCTCCCTGCTACGTCTCCGGAGCATGGCCTCCCGTGTCCTTGTCTCTGGTCTTCCCCGGTCCCTCCCTCCCCTTCCTCCGGGGCCTGGCCCTACCTGCGTCCCCTGTGTCGAGGGACGGCAGCGGGCTACCCCCCACTCCTCCCAGTTTCCTCCGACAGAGGCCCCGCTGCAGACGCTTCACATGGACGTGTGGGGCCCGGCCCGCGTCCGTGGACAGGGTCACGAGCGCTACTTCCTGCTGGTGGTTGACGACTACTCGCGTTACACCACAGTCTTCCCCTTGCGCAGCAAGGGTGATGTCACTGAGGTGTTGATCGACTGGATCCGCGCAGCTCGTCTCCAGCTCAGGCGGAGCTTCGGCTCGGACTTTCCTGTTCTGCGTCTGCACTCTGACAGAGGCGGAGAGTTCTCCTCTGGCCTTCTGCGAGCCTACTGTCGTGCACGAGGCATCCGCCAGACCTTCACGCTTCCGGACTCTCCACAGCAAAATGGGATTGCTGAGCGCCGCATTGGCATGGTCATGGACGTCGCCCGTACGTCCATGATGCATGCGGCTGCCCCCCATTTTCTGTGGCCGTTTGCGGTTCGGTACGCGGCGCATCAGATCAACCTTCAGCCCAGGGTCTCCATGCCGGAGACCTCCCCAGCGTTGCTGTGGACGGGGAAGGTTGGCGATGCGTCTGCGTTCCGTGTCTGGGGATCTCGGGCGTTTGTCCGCGACTTGTCTGCGGACAAGCTGTCCCCTCGTGCTGCTCCTTGCATCTTCCTGGGTTTCCCCCCTGACGCCCCAGGGTGGCAGTTCTACCACCCCACCTCTCGCCGTGTTCTGTCCTCTCAGGACGTCACGTTCGACGAGTCGGTCCCCTACTACCGCCTCTTCCCCTACCGCACTCCGTCCCTCCCCCCGCCACCGCTCTTCCTGGTACCAGGTCCCCCCCCGGTAGACCCCCTCCCCCCTCAGGGTCCTGCCCCTTCAGGTGTGTCCCAGGTAGACGCTGTTGAGCCTGTCGAGGTCGCTGGTGACTCTGGTGCTGCTGAGGGTGCTGAGCCTGGGGGTGCTGACTCTGAGGGTGCTGAGCGTGTGGGTGCTACGCCTGGGGGTGCTGAGTCTGGGGGTGCTGAGTCTGGGGGTACTACGACTGGGGGTGCTGAGCCTGGGGGTACTACGCCTGGAGGTGCTGAGCCTGGGGGTGCTGCGTCTGGGGGTGCTGAGCCTGGGGGTACTACGCCTGGAGGTGCTGAGCCTGGGGGTGCTACGCCTGGTGGTACTGTGCCTGGCGGTTCTCCAGGTGCTCCTTCTCGCCGGGAGCCACTCTCTCCCCAGGAGCTGCGTGAGTGGTTTGCCCGGCGCTGGAGGCGAGCTGCTGGAGCTGCTGGAGCTGGAGGTGCTGCGGGTACTGGAGGTTCTGTTGCTGCTGAGGGAGCTGGTGCCACGGGTCCCGGAGGTGCTCGTACTGGGAGTACTGGAGCTGCTGGACCTGCGGGTACTTCTGGAGCTGGAGTTGCTGC